CCCTCATTAGGTGGACGGGGCTTCCCATGACTCAGCAGCCTCCCCTCCCCCCCCAACCACCACCTCATCATGGATGGAGCCTGTCACCTCCTGTGGAGCCTCGTTGCTCCATAAAGCAACCTAACAGTCAGAGCACTCAGCAGGACAGGCTGAGAAACATCCTCCAGAACAAACGTTCTCTGACGTCTGCAGGAACTACAGCTGGGTTTGATGACCACCGCAGCCCCTCAAAGGCTCGTTACCACCATTCACTTCTTTGGCTCTTGCAACCGCTTGTCATTCGTCACGTTAACAGCATTGCCTCAGCTTTGAGGGTCGTGTTTTATTTAGTACGATTTACGAGATAACAAGAAAATGCAAACAGAGGGCAGAGTTTTTCAGAAATCTTTGCACATGGTTGCATTTAAAGCACATAAGTGACAAGTCAGAAGTGAAGGCATTGGGTAAAATGTTACCCAATGTGCTGTTTGTGAAACCATTGAGTCACTCACTTTTTTCTATCAGTGGACTGGAAACTTTTTAGTTATTATTTTTCCAAAAATGACCTATTTAAATCAGACAATCTTAAAAAAAAAATTCCATATTATTTATCAGTAATATATGACAATATAAAAGAATTACTAAACCAGACCGACTGAGCTCCTCTCCAAACTGTAACGCCTTTTTAAGAGCAGGCAGACAAGTGTCGCTGAGAATACAAGACAAGAAACCACGGTGGGTCTTGGCTACAGAAGAGAACGAAAAAACTTCACTAAATGAGAGCAGAAGAGGAGGAGGAGGAGGAGGAGGAGGAGAAGAGGAAGAAGAAGAAGAATCTTGACCTTACCTTCTGTCCTCTCTCTGGTTTGAGTTCAAGTCTCACAGACACAGTGTGGCTACATCAGCACAGGCAGCTCCAGACAGAGTGTGTGTGAATATGGAGAACATCAGTGAAAACTGCACCTCCTCCTTCACCCCCCTTTCCCCTCCCCTCTCTCTCTCTTTCTCTCTCCCTCTTTTTTCTCTTTAGAGTTCTCACTTCCTCTTTGCTTTTTTTAATCATTGACAATTGTGTGTGTGTGTGAGTCAACTTCGACCACTTCCTGTGTCCTGTAGTTCTAACAGAGGAAGAGGCGGAGCCAAGAGTTGGATTATCATGTATTAACTTTGGCATATTGACCAGAGGAGCCCGGCATCGAACAGCCAACCTTTTAGCATGAGCACCATCATTTTCCATTCACTGATCCACCGTCCTTCAGGACGGATCTGGTTTGAACCGTGTGCCGTGGTCAGGTCATGTTCAAGGTCAACACGGCGCCCAAACAAACAAACATGGCGCCGTTGTATCGTTCTAAGTCGACACAGTCTAGAACGGGCTGTTAATCCGATGACATCACATGACCTGACCTTGAATAGTGAAGGAGGAAACGTCTTTATCTGTGAACGTCTGAGTCACATGGACGAGGCTGCCGTTTTAAGAACCATAACGTTTGTCCCTTTGTTTGAGACTCACCTTGTCCACTTCTGAGTCCACATCCATGGACCGTGGTCTGAGCTTGATGGACTGGTCTTTAAAGATGTCACCGAAGCCAAAACCTCGAACCTTGACACGACAACAGAAAGTGCACCACTAAGAATCAACAGAACCAACACAGAGGCTACAGTCGCTCTGCCTGTTGGTGAAATACACTCAAAATATTCAGAGTGACAGAATGCAGTACTGCACTGTACTGTACTGTACTGTACTGTACTGTATCGTACCTTCTTCGGCTGGATTTCCCCTGATCCAGTCTCTGAGCGACTGTCTCCTCCGTCACTCTCGCTGCCTGGACTGTCCTTACCTGTAATCACACACATTTGACTTTGTGAATTTAGGTTCAAGTTGACATATCACAGTAATTTTTCTCTCCACTTGAGGGCGCCAGCGGCTAGTCATGACCCATCATTGATAAACAGGAGACATACAGAATTATTATTTTTTATTTATATCTAATACGTTTTTTTTTTTCAAATGAATAAATCTACACCGTGACCGTGTCTTGAACAACAATTTAATAGCAGTTGCGACTCACTGGTGCGGCCGCTGCGTAGATCCTCCTGTGAGGTGGACGAGTCTGTAGCGGCGGAGTCGGACTCTGTCACGATCTCTTTGGTGAAATTAGAGGGGAACATTCCAGTCTTTCCATTAAGAAAGCCCTCCCACCAGCCTTCTTCCACCTGAACACACACGGATTGGTCATTTAGAAATATATTATTATTTTTTTAAAAACGCCCAAAGATTAGATGAACGAACAACTGTCAAGTTTCCAGGAACAGTAACTAAACTAAACTAAACTAAACTTAGCTCTTAACTCTCTTAACTCTAAACTTAACTCTCACCAGAGGTGATACATTTGTTACATCTTTGAGTGTATTTATCAGAAACACTAATCTTGGCAGTGAAAAAATAATAAAGAAAACCATCATGGATTATTAGGTTAATAGTTCAGTGTAAATTGATCACACCGTAGGTGTGAATGTGAGTGTAAATTAAAGTGTAATAACGACTAAGATATAAAGTGTTCCTCAGTGCCCTCTAGTGGACAAACCATGTAACAAACACCAGGAAGATTATTTTTTAACGCCACCATTTCGGGCTGTATTTAATTTAATTTAAAGTGAGAAATCTCACCTCAGCTATGACCTCGATGATGTCTCCGATTTTCAACTCCAGTTCATCTTCATGCTGAGGAACGTAGCTGAAAGCAGCTTTACAGCGACGCTTACGGATCTGCTCAGCTGTAGAACACACACACACACACACACACATCAGACTGAACTGCTGACCTCTCACCTTTGCACCACCCTAAATCTAACCTGCTCTGACACCACCGTTTGACCTTCTATTTTATACTGTACTGTACTGTACTGTACTGTACTGTATCGTACCTTCTTCGGCTGGATTTCCCCTGATCCAGTCTCTGAGCGACTGTCTCCTCCGTCACTCTCGCTGCCTGGACTGTCCTTACCTGTAATCACACACATTTGACTTTGTGAATTTAGGTTCAAGTTGACATATCACAGTAATTTTTCTCTCCACTTGAGGGCGCCAGCGGCTAGTCATGACCCATCATTGATAAACAGGAGACATACAGAATTATTATTTTTTATTTATATCTAATACGTTTTTTTTTTTCAAATGAATAAATCTACACCGTGACCGTGTCTTGAACAACAATTTAATAGCAGTTGCGACTCACTGGTGCGGCCGCTGCGTAGATCCTCCTGTGAGGTGGACGAGTCTGTAGCGGCGGAGTCGGACTCTGTCACGATCTCTTTGGTGAAATTAGAGGGGAACATTCCAGTCTTTCCATTAAGAAAGCCCTCCCACCAGCCTTCTTCCACCTGAACACACACGGATTGGTCATTTAGAAATATATTATTATTTTTTTAAAAACGCCCAAAGATTAGATGAACGAACAACTGTCAAGTTTCCAGGAACAGTAACTAAACTAAACTAAACTAAACTTAGCTCTTAACTCTCTTAACTCTAAACTTAACTCTCACCAGAGGTGATACCGGATTGGTCATTTAGAAATATATTATTTTTTTTTTAAAAACGCCCAAATATTAGATGAACGAACAACTGTCAAGGTCCCAGGAACAGTAACTCTCACCAGAGGTGATATATTTGTTACATCTTTGAGTGTATTTATCAGAAACACTAATCTTGGCAGTGAAAAAATAATAAAGAAAACCATCATGGATTATTAGGTTAATAGTTCAGTGTAAATTGATCACACCGTAGGTGTGAATGTGAGTGTAAATTAAAGTGTAATAACGACTAAGATATAAAGTGTTCCTCAGTGCCCTCTGGTGGACAAACTATGTAACAAACACCAGGAAGATTATTTTTTAATGCCACCATTTCGGGCTGTATTTAATTTAATTTAAAGTGAGAAATCTCACCTCAGCTATGACCTCGATGATGTCTCCGATTTTCAACTCCAGTTCATCTTCATGCTGAGGAACGTAGCTGAAAGCAGCTTTACAGCGACGCTTACGGATCTGCTCAGCTGTAGAACACACACACACACACATCAGACTGAACTGCTGACCTCTCACCTTTGCACCACCCTAAATCTAACCTGCTCTGACACCACCGTTTGACCTTCTATTTTATTGTCTGAGGTCCATTAGTCCAGACCTCATTAGTCCAGACTCAGCTGACGCCTCAGGAATTCTAACCCTGCAGTACTTCGTATGCCCATACGGGGTCAGTCAAACTTCATTTTTAAATGAAGGAAACGTTTGCTTAAGGGGGGAAAACCACCACAGTGCAACACAAAACATGTAAATAATGTATTGATAGTTAAATAAAATAATTTTATTTGTATTTATTGAACTATCAATAAATTATTTACGTGTCTCGTGGTTTCTTTTGGGTAATTTTTGTGTCTTTTGGTGTCCAAACGTGCTGATATTTGGTTTCCTTGCGGTTGTCTTTGACAGTTTGAACGCCTCTTTGTTGTCTGTTTTGGATTAAATCTGCATCTCTTGGCTCGTGGCGCCGTCCCAGTCCCAGTCCCAGTCCCAGTCAGTCCATCCTGTGGTTGTGTCCACAGGGTCGGTGTGTACATGTCGGCAGTAACTGGATTTTACAAGTGTTTCAGTCCAATCTGTTTTGACTCTAATAGGATTACTGCAGGGGCCTGACTACTTAAAGCTGTCTAATGACCGCTGTGTATGAATGGATAACAACGGCGTGCCTGCCTTTGTGTGTGTTTGTGTGTGTGTGTGTGTGCATTGTGTTTCTCTGCGTACCTTTCTTTCCAGGCCGTGAGCTGGAGTCAGACACGGGACTGGCCCGGCCGTTTGCCAGGTCAGATTTGATCATGCTGCTCTGTCCTCCGTCCCTCTTACTTTCCTTCTTTATCTCCTGCATGGAGAAAAGAGAGAAGCGGTGGAAAATAATAAATCAGGAGAAGGAGAATAAGGGAGGGGAGACTGGGGGGGAGAGGGTGTTGTGACTTTTTTATATAATATGTTTTTGCTTCTAGTGAGCGACTGTAGCCGTCCTGGAAGGCCAAATTATTTGCTTTTTTATCTGTATTATTATCAACAGGCTGACACATAAAATACCATTATGACGCAAAATCAGAAAATATCTGCAGTAACCTTCACTGAAAAACATGATTTTTTTTTTGCTGTTACTAAGCAACATTAACTGTGTCTTCACTGTAGATAACTGACAGCAAATCATCATCATCAAATGTCAGTGATGCCTTCAATGACCTTGGAGAAAGTTTAGATCACAGCAGCAAACGATTTTAATTGCACTTCACAGCTCAACCTGCAGGTGTGTGGTGTTGCTACTGTATGTGTTTGTAAAGTGACAGGTTGATCAAGGGGTAACAGGTCTGTTGTTGAGGGAAACATGCAGCCTACGTCTGCTGCAGCCAAAAGATGAGTATATTAAAAAAAAAAAGTTTTGTATGAAGAAGCAGTGGAACTAGTAAAAAAAAAAAGAGGAAACTGAGTATTAATTATTTATTAACACCCACACTTGGTTTAGACTCACAAGTTATCATAACGTTAATTTGCATATCCCCAGACAGTGGGAGGAAGCAACACTACACACAGAAATTTGGAATTCAATACGGACAGGAAGCTGTGCAGTTTTAAAAGCTGTCAAAAAACAAAACAACAAAAAAAAAAACACCCGATGTTTATCTGCAGACTTCTGTCCAAATATTCAAACACGGTGACGCAGACGTACTGTACTGCTGCAGGATCAGCACGGTCTGTGCTTCAAACAATAACTGTGACATCAACACAGTCACAGAGACACAGACTGGCAAAGAGAACGATTCAACACAACAGACCTGACAGACAGTAAACACTGACACATGTCTCTTCACATCTGTCCATCACATTCATCGTCTCACTGACGGTGTTGAGCTGAGTCTTGGCTAAACTGACTCACAGTCTCTGTGAAATCCCTGTGAACTCACACCGACCTGCTGTGGTTACAAAAATCTCTTAATGAGCCTGAGAAAATTCCAAACATCTCAACAACACAAAGTGTTCCCCAGACGCCTGCAGGAAACCATTTTAAACCTGAACCTAACGATGGAGGAAGTGTGATGTTTTTTTTTTTATTTATACTGCGTTAGAAGCCGTCTGCTAGCTGTAAACACAGCTACCATTACTGTATCACACTCCCAGTGGAGCAGAGGATGGTTAACATCCAACAGGCTGTACTGTCACCATTACTGTGTTTATAGACCATAAGGCTGAGACGTGATTAAAAAAAAAAAATCTGATCTAATTAATACAGAACAGCTGTGGATTCATCGCAGTATCCATGACTAATTGGGATTGAAATTAATCCCAAATAATCTTGATTAATAAAAATAAATCCACATCCTCTACAGCAGTGGTTCTCAAACTTGTTATACTCTGTACAACCTGAGAAAAAAACATTAGCAGATAGCAGCGTAGCCCTTCACTGTTAGCTTCCACCACACAGGAGAGATGTTAATGAATGTTTATAAGGATATCTATCATTAAATGTTGTGTCACTGTTAGCTTCCACCACACAGGAGATCAGATATCATTAAATGTGTTAATTATTCATGGTATGTTTCAGATTTATTCAATTGGGAATATAAACGTGAAAATATGAATATTTTCCCCGCGTACCACCAGCGAGCACACGCACCACAGTTTGAGAACCACTGCTCTATAGAGATGTGTGTGTAGTACTGGGAACAAAATAACCTGCAAAAAAAAAAAAAAAAAAAAACCCAGAGGATCAGCTCAGGTCATCTGTCACATATGAAAAACATGTGTTTGGATGTGATCATGTGGTGGGAGGAGCTTAGGACTTAGAGCTGCCAAAACAATAATAATCTGGGGATTGAACCAGCAGCTGTGCCTGTAGAGTTGAGTTCATCAATACGCCGTCTCTGACCACTGGGCTTACTTCACTGACATCTGCTGTTTGCTAAGTGGGCTAATGCAGCGTCGATGTTAATGTGAAAAGCAGGGGCGAACAGGGATTGATTCTGCAGCGTGGTCACACGGCCCGGGAGAAGCTGGTTCAGTAAAGGGACGCCATAAAACGCCTTGCATTAACGCAAACTCCTAAAAAAAAAAAACCCAAACATCTGCTTTCCTCTACGGTAAATAGTGAAGGTTATTGGCTCTTGGAAGACAGAAATAATAAGTCAACTGTTCTTGGATCCGTCGTGTTCCGCTGCAGTTCCTCCTGCAGGGATGTGGAGGTGACGCAGAGTTAAAGGAAACCCAGCAGAAATGAGAGGAAGAAGACAAACGTGATTCATCACATCTGAGCAGGAAACACCTGCAGTGCTGTGTGTGTGTGTGTGTGTAGCAGTTTACAATGCACTGCTTTAATGGTAACCATTGCTCCTCTCAGTCTGAACTCTGACCTCCTTCTGTTCTTACGGTCGTACCGCGGCGTTCTGTGAAGCACGTTAGAATCACAGACTGTTTTTTTTTTTCTTAACCAATTCCTTATTCTCTCTACAAAAAAAGCAAACCACCATTTTAAGAATTGGAGAAACATTTGACATTCGAACACTCAAATATTCCTGGAGGCAGTTCATTTTTTTGCTTTTATTTTTCTAGTGATTACAAACGTAGATCTCTCCGTTCTAGTTTTAGTAACTTGATGTTGAGCATGTAACAGCACTGTGTGTTTACTATGATGACTAGAATCAAATAGTTTTAAAAAACTCAATATATCATTGTACCCATAGTATCGCAACATTGTTGCCTCTGTATCGTCACAGTCAGTACAGATGAGCAGAAACAGTTCCAGTTCCGTCTACGGCTGAGTTCAAGTTAAACGCACAGCTATGATGTCAGTTTACGACTCGTTCTCTTGTGAAGACAACGATGGACGAAGCGTTTTAACATCAAACATCCAAACCACCTGTTAGCGCACAGCTATGATGTCAGTTTACGACTTGTTCTCTTGTGAAGACACCAGGTGAAACAGAATGAGAATATCCCATTGGTCTGGAGCGTCTGTGTTTCTGAACTGAGCTGATGTCACTGTGTCTGAGGGATAACGTGGACCCTGACTCACACAGCACCACATGTCAAATCAGAGCATGTGAAGCTGATTTGCGAGTCCTGCTCGTCTAATTCGGCCTGGGTCAGATGACTGCAGCGCTCTGGTAAACAGGATATCCTCCACCTCTCTGTAAAGACACGGCCTGCAGGGACTTTCAGGAACGAACGCAAACGTAAAAAGAAAATATTGTCTCAAATTTTATTGTTTTACTGTTTGATTTATTTTCATTTTCCTGAGCAGGAAATCTGATTAGAGCTGATGAAAGTGGAGAAAATTCTGTTTTCGGTTGTGTTTGGTGGAACACGGATTTGATTAGGTGACCTCCAGCATCAGGAAGTTGTGAGTGGATTTTCCCCAATTTGTACCGGGATCATAGCAGACGTCAAGTGTGGCTGTTACTTTTAAACTACAAAAGTCAGAGGCAACTTCATTACTTTCATCACAGGCTGTGACTTTTAAACCAGATTTCAGTTCGACGTCACCGCGTCAGTGACATGTAGCCGAGAATTTCCGCTCAGGACAGACTTTTTCAGACAAGGGCAGCTTCAGTGCTCCCCCTGGGACTGAGTCGCCACAGAAATATCACATGAGCTCTGGGTAAATGAGGCATGAAATGAACCACAGCCAATGCATTCAGTTTAAGTGACTGTAACTCATTGATCTCCGTGACAGTCAGCCCCCACTGAAGAGGGCAGCAGCTCACATACCATCACTTCCTGTTGTTGTTTTAGCCGGCCTTCACCTCACACACACACACACACACTTGTGCGTACTTCACTCAGACTTCAGATATTTCCCTCGCCTCGACCTTGACTGATAGACTGACAGAGTATTTGCTGAATCTTAACCTGAATCTGACTTAAGTCCAAACGACGTCGTCAGCTTCCATACACCGTCTCGTTCACTCAGTGGAAAAATGCAAAGTGTTTCCACAGTCATAGCATTGTCCACACAAGTGAAGCTAAACCACAGCTACACACACACACACACACACACACACACACATAGAAATCATTGTTGTCATTCTTGTGACAAACTACTCGGATATTACTGCAGTACCGCCCAAGTCTTCTCTCTGACCCAAACTGGATCCTGAACTTCTGATCCTGGGGCAGAAACTAAGTGTTTGCCCACAAAAGTTCTGAGAACCTACAAAAAAAAAAGCCCCACGACATGACTGCCCCCCCACCCCCGTGTTTAATTATTTAAAGAGGACAGTGCTGCTAGCTTGTCATGCTGTTCAAAGGTAAACGTGTAGATTAATAAGTGGATAACTGTGGCACCAGAAACCGCTAATGTGTAATTTCAAGTCCCCTAGAGGGGGCCAGAGAGCCAAATGACATCTTTGTATGTCCTTTAATGATAAGCATTTTTGCTTTTTTTTTCAACCGTAATATTTTGGAACACATTGTGAAACACACACACACACACTCACACACACAGCGTCAGTCCTTACAGCGTAGTCGTGGTGAACAGCCTGATAACAGACGCAGTCTCTGTGAAACTCTTCAGCTCTTTCCTACTTCCTCTTCAGTGAACGTGATACTTCCCCTTCCTCTAAACCTCTGAACAGAATGGTTAAAGTCTATATTGGGGGAATAAAGAAAGTAGACACAATAAGAGATCGTTGCCCCCCTGCCCCCATCTTTTTCTTCAAAGCTAAAACCTGGTACAAAACTTCAAGGAGAGAAGTTCTTAACGCTCAGACATCAAAGAAGAACCGTGTGTTTGGTTTGAATTATCTCCACATCAGATCATTAGGATTACACCAGCAGAGTGACTTTTAAGACCCTTGTGCAGATGCATTTCCTGGTGGGTTTTACAACAGTTTATTAATTTAAAAAAAAAAGATGTCTCAAAGTTTTCCCACCATTTTATTTTCTCTCTCTGAGGCGATGGCGATGTTGTCGCCTGAGGCCTTTAGTTATTTTGGAATTTAATGATGATTTTCTCCTTTATTTATCTATTTATTTTTCTCATGTCGGCTGCGTCCTGATCTCTTAGTCGTGCTCCTGATTAAACAGTAACGTTTTTTTATTTTGTTTTTTTTTTAAACCCAGTGTAAATGATTCCTAAGAGAAGCCGTAGCAGAGAGAACGAACAGGAAGTTTAATGATTAAACTGCTGTTTGTGGGTTTATGAAGTGTTTCAGGGACTGAGAATGTGGAGAAATAAAGGAGCCGGTGTTGTCGGGGGGGAAATAAGGGCTGCGAGAGGTGCCTGACTGTGATTACTCACCCTGACAAAGTTATCCGGGAACAGCCCCCTGCGGCCGCCCAGCTCCCCCTCCCACCATCCTCCGTCGTCCCGCCGTATGTTCACGATGATGTCACCCACCGTCAGGCTCAACTCATCGTCCTGCTGAGCCTCATAGTCAAATTCCACCACGGCCTCCACTGTGGACAGGAGGGAGAAGACAGCAAGAGCGTCAGTGAGTTAGGGACCGGGAAAAAGGTCAGACTGTGGTGGGGGGGGGTGGTGTTGGCTCAGGAGGAACTGCTGCTGAACTCTGTCTGTCTGCAGCAGCACAGCAGCGTCAGAGTGGAGTGGTGTTCATTTCCCTTCAGTGCAGCAGCTCACATCCAGCTGATCGTTTCCGTTTCTCAAAGAAAAGCCAGCGTTTTGTAAATAAATGATCCAAAATACACAAAAAGGAAAATACCTGTCCTGACATCCAGTTCCTAAAATGACTACGTCTACGGAACGAATGAATATTTGACCCTGACCCAGTGACTGCTGTGATTGGCTGCAGTTCGCCCTGCGACTCTAAAGTCTAAAGGCTCGGGGTAATTATTGGTGCGAAACAAGTTTTGTCATCAGAACTTAGTGGATGTTTATAAAATTAAAAGTGACATTCAGCAAAATGTTTATCAAAATAAAAGTTGGGCTAGTTCCAAAGAAGGAAATATATAAAAAGACATTTGTACGTCAGGTGGATAAGTTAGAGTGAAATATTACTAAATAAATATTTCTCAACAAGCAGTAAAGACGTAAAAATGCATCATGTCGCTGTAGTAGGAATACTGTGTTCACAGTCCTCCACTGCAGTACTGGTTTACATAACGTGTATAATAAACACTGAGATGTACTGCAAACACACACCACACACAGACTCGGCCTGGTACTACATTAATCCAGTCCGTGTGACAGTTCACGAGGTTCACAAATATGTTCCGTGATGAAGTTCATTTCGGCTTCAAACACAATCACTGCAGTCCAACCTTCTGCTTCTTCACTCACTGTCGCCACCTGATGTCACGTAGCACATCATTACGAAAGTTTTATTCGATGTACACACATGATGTGTACGTATACCAACACATGCACACATACTGGACTCAATTAGTCCCCAGGGCCTGATCCTTGTCTAAACTGTGTGGGCAGCTAACAGGGAGGGGGGGTGTTCGGGGGGGGGATTGTGAAACCATGGTAACGCTGGTACAAAGGCATAGATATGACTCACACACACAGGCATCCTCCCAAAAACCCTTCCCCCATTTTTACACACAGACACACACACGTTAGCTAACGCACAGCACACAGCGAGTGAGATTTTTACACACCGGTGCACAAAATCCCATAATGATGACATCAACCACACTGAGGCTGCAACGTCGTGGAAAGTTAGCCTCAGATTGATGCTCAGGGTTTCCAGATTAATCAGGAGGGGAAGTTTTTCTTTCCTCTTCTTCTTGTCTAGAGCATTTTTTATTTTTTTTAAATATATACTATCAGTTTTAGAATTCTTGCCTTTCTGGATATTTGTACGTCAGACATTGCAAAACTTTTAAGCTAACTAGCTCATCCAAAGCTGCTTTTGGATCTTTTAATTCTAGCATTTCCTGAAAGAAATGACATCGTCTTTGTGCTAATAGTTCTGGCTAAAGCTAACATGAATTAACATTACTCAACATTAAATTCTCATTTGCCTGAATCTCACATATTTGTGGGCTAAGATTTAACCCTAATCTCTTAGCGCTCACCACACTGTTTAGCTACGTTGATCCACTTCTTACTACTTAAGATTTAACCCTAATCTCTTAGCGCTTACTACACTGTTTAGCCGTTTTGATCAACTTTTTACTATGTTTGCTGCATTTCTAGCTGATATGACTATTTTGAAGGTAACGTTTGCTTTAATATTTTATACTTATATCTACCTATCTGTGTATTTAGGTGTTTGACACGTGTTTTTCTGCCTTATCTGAGCTGGGCTCAGCCACTCTTTCGGTACCTTTCAGTGATTCAGTAGGGATTATGTCTGAAGTTTATTCTTCAGCTTTGCCCCAGCTCCTACGACGCTGTAATCCTACACCACCTTTAACTGCTTTGCACTTGACCTGATATGTGATGTGTTCTGTAGAAGCCCGGTTGGATATTTTCCAATCACAACTTTTCTTCAGTCAACTATTCACTTTACAGGCCAGTACAAGTCCCTGGTGTGTATGTTTTTTATGTCAGTCCTACATATTTCATGGAGATTCTGCCCTCAGTCTTGACTGATTTCTGACCTTGGTTTGGAGGCAGATGATGAATGGGGCGATTAAAGTTTGTGTGCTGCTCAGATGAGGAGCAGGATATAATTCTGACTTTATATCACCGGAGCGATCAGCTGCAGATGAGGCAGTGACGTGGCACATTCAACATGGGTTTTGCTCGGTGCTGAGATGCTGAATGCGGAAGTGGCAAATACAGTGGTCGTCCTCTCCAGAAAGAGGAAGTACACACAGTCGATTTGGAGCTTGCGGTAGTTTTTACCACCAATTGTGACATGTTACAGTGCAGCAGGCTACAGTGCTGTACACCCACCCACCCACCCACCCACCCCACAACAACACATGCACCAGTGAAGGCAGCATGTTTTACTAAGTGCAAAGACTGGTGAAAGTTAAAAGCAGCAGAAAGTCTGGAGGCTCTGGAGAGAAGAGTCGTCTGGAGAACAGCTGCTCAGACACAGAGGAAACCAGGCTCCTGAGTCACATTATCAGAGGATATAAATTCACAATGAAAACAGCTGTGTCGTGTACAAAACACACACGGGTTTCATCTGTTCCTTTTTACAAAAAAAAATTTTAATTGGATTATATGATAAAAGTTTGGCTTTGGAGCCAAATGGCCTTTTAATATGTCATGTGACGGGGACTAAACAATTGCAGGTTGGTTAGAGGATAACAATTATTCTAGAAAATCAATTGTTTAAACCAATACAGCTAAAACCCATCCAAACCCAGCTACTAAAATGAAATAAGAAATTCAAACCAGGCTGACGTCGACCACTTGTTGACAACATAGACTGAATAATGGCTGTAAATCAGAGAAAGAAATGTGTAGGCAACTAACAGATAACCAGGAATATTTACAAAGGTTGCTTAAACCTCAGCAAAATAAGTTTTAAAAATAGATATAATTTCGCTAAAGGTTAGCAAAAAGGTAATAATCTCCACACACCTGTGTTTTCCAGTAGCTGTACAGTGGTTGTGTTTTCTTTTTTAGTAAATATATAGTAACATATAAACATATTTAGTATAATTAGTAAATATGTTTACTGGGGCAAATGTTGGCTGTAACAGATGGCTGCTTCCTGCCAATGTGTCCCTGCGCCGGACACTTGAGTTGAGTCTCCACTCTGTACAAATGATTGCAAACGTCTGTTCCCTAGCCCAGCTTTAATGATCCACACGTTGAATCAAAAACTTGGAGTTTCTGTTTTTATGCCTTGCTTTTTGCTAGAATGTTATAAAGTCTACAGAGATAACAAGACGCTGCAGACAGAAGTGACCGTGCAGCGGTGCAGCGCCCGTACAGGAAGTGTGGGAGTCTGTAAACAGCTGCGGTCAGTTATGATAAAGTTAAACAAAACCATGCTGGTTTTTCTGCTGCTGCTGCTGAACTGATGATGATGATGATGATGACGATGTCAGGAGCAGCTATGAGGCTCTGTCTCTGAATCACTGACACTGGGCCGCAGCCCAATAAGAGTCAGCGTCGCCCACTCACAACTCTGGGAGAAAAATCGCAGACTTCAGCAAAATTGTCCAACGTCAAGTGTTGTCTTTTTTTGTGCTTGTGCACATTCTGGCACCTTCTCCTTTACAGAGCGTCTTTTGACAAAGCCCTGATAAGAATTTGGTGCATTCATGGTTGGGTTTTTCCACGTAGGAGGAGAGAGGAGACAGTATTTTGGCACATTTACTGTATGGACCGATGTTGTCGGAATGGACGGGACATTTGAATATGTTCCTTCTGTTTTCTGGAGCGACTGAAGGTCGCAGCTGCATTGACACAACTGAAGCAACAGCAGAGTCAGAGGAAGAAAACTGCAGATGTTTTGGCTTCACGTTGCCTTTCTATAACAGGAACGTGAAAAAAAAACAACCCTAAAACATAAACCTCTAATTACATGGTGTGTTTCCGCAAGTTGTTCAAAGTCTGGCCTTAAAATGTCAGCTTAGAAAGAGGTGACAGGTCACTGTGGTTTGTTTGTCCAAACGTCAGGAGTAGTTCTACACCATAACACTGCCAGTATTTGAAAGTGGGAACCATCGTGTATATGGGTTAAAAAGTAGGTTATTGATTCGTCCATCAGTCCATCAACATGTGGGTTACGGCCCACAGGTGGTCGTACATAACCATCAAATATCAATGTTGCCCAAGAAAACCAGCAGAAAATGACATGACTGCATAGAGAACAGAAAAGAAAAAAAAAATCTGAGTGGACTAGAACTCCAGACTAGGGGCCACTGGACACGCCTACCAGTTTGGACCAGTGAAAGAAAAGCTAAGTCAGTCAATACCAGGAGTCATTTCGACGGAGGCTGCCTCCGTCCTCCACCTCTCACTCCGTCAGTGGCAGCTGTCAATCATTGGATTGATTGTGCGTGACCTTCGAGAGCCGAATGTGGTGCTGCATCAGAAAACTCCCACACTGCTGTGAGAAACGCAGCGAAATACTGCATCACAAATACTGCACAAATACTCCAGACAGTAGCATTTTTAAAGGGAAACACACTTTTATTTTGCGCTTCGACAGGTTCAATTCTTTGGAACTCATGTGAAATGGACCAAAAGACAAATGGACAAATGAACTCTGTGATGAGTCCACGTTTGAGCAAATGGATTCGACGAAAGGACGAAGAAAAACAGCATCCAGATTACTGACTCTTTGTTACAACCAAGATGCAAATTTTCTACTAAAGAAGAAGAAGATAAAGTAGTAGAAGAAGTATCATCCTCCTTATCTGCTGTCAACGTCCAGTGACGAGGAACTCGAGTGATTGCTCAACACATCACATCACAGGCAGGATTCAAACCTCCTCTGGTAACAAGCCCGCTCCCACAGACCCGTTACTACTACTAACCTAGTATTACTAAAGACCGAAGCTGCAACACTGGCCTTCCCCTATTCACAGAAGATTAAAACAAAAAGGAAGTGACCCAGTGATGAACTCTGCTCAGTCCCAGCCTCTTTAGAAGGTGTTGCAGCGTCAAACGCCACGTTTATTAGGTTCAGTTTGCCAGGAGACCATTCACACTAACATTCACACTTAAGGTCCATTATCTGCAGAAAACCCATGTCAATATGAAGGAGAGACTGGGGTCCAACAACAGGACCGGAGCACAAACCACTTTTACCACAGAGTGGAATTCAGGCAAAATGCAAAGCACTGCAACTACGATATCAGACCGGAAGTAATCCTAATTTAATGTTAATCTCAGCTACTCTCCCACCGCGTGGCCTATGTTAGAGGTAATCTTTCTTTACTTAGTTCTTTTTTTCAGATAAATCCAGTTTGGCCAGAACAAACTCCAATGACTGATTTTTTTTTTTTAAAGGAATCAAACACGGGTTGCCCCAGTTGCTCACCGGAGCACCCCTCCGTTAAAAAAGAAAAATGTCCGCCCACGCCTCTGACATAGAGACAGACGTAGAGTTAATGTAAACGTGTCAACATCTGCAACTCATCAGTGTGATGTGATGTGATTCTCCGCTGTGTTTCCTGCCGCACACCCACCAGTGGATTTCTCATAGTGACGGCAACGTCGGATACACAGTCACGCGCACGAATCTGTGCCACGGCCATAGATGGCGAACAGCTCGGTACTGTAAAAGTGAGGAGAGAGCACCTTCTCTCCTTAGGAGGTGGAGGTGAAGAGGAGGAGAGGAGAGGAAGAAAGAAGAGGAGAAAGGACAGCGGCTGCGCGCATCTGGAGCTCAAGGCGTTGATTCATCCAGATGCGCACAGGCGCAGAGCTATTTTTGGAACAATTGAGGAAAGAAGCCAAAACAGAGGGGAAGCGTCTCACCCATTTATGTCTCCCGGTGTCCTGTGCGTGCTCCTGCAGGCTGGTACTGTTTGTGGTGGTCCCAGGTACGGAGGGGGTGGGGGGTTAGTGCCGGACACGAGCCCCAGACTGATCCGCTACAGCAGCGGTGGCAGCAGCGCTGAAACGGGAGGAGCGTCAGATGAAACCATATTCCTTCCTCTTTTTGTCTCCACTGACACCAAGAGAGGAGGAGAGGGAGAGAGAGAGAGACCAACCAATCTCTCTCTCTCTATCTCTCTCTCTCTCCTGCCCTCCCTCTGCTGAGTTCAAATAAACCACGTAAATTTCCTTCTTCATTTAAAACGTTAAAAATACACTCAATTTTACATGAACCATAAAAAAACAATACCCTACAGTTCCCAAAGTAACACGACTGAAACTATTTAATTAAATATAATATACATATCTGGTCATAAATCTCTCCCGAGGTGTTAGTCTCAGTGAAGATGTGAAATGTTAAAAACTTCACACACAGGCGAGAGCAGGAACAGAAAGTTGACAGCGGGTGATGCACAGATGGTGGTTGACACACTCACTGGTTCGTGTCATATTACAGCACATATGGGCACATGCCGTAAAGCAGGAAATATGCTGTTCCTATTGCACATTCATGACTTTATTTAATGTTTAAGAGTAATTTAATAGTTGAAAATAAAATAATGCCATGATACAATATGGATCGTGTAAAAATACTATACATCTCATTTAACAAAACAGTTAAAAAATTCCTGTGAATTAATTAATAAAAAAATTAACCTGATAGTTATTAAGGCACACATTCATAGTTTGATATCTTTACATACTCTAAATCATTTATTAGTCATAGAAATGCTGGTATAAAACATTCTGGATAAACTTACTCCCATGTTTAAATCATATTACAATTTGAATGCAGTTGTAGATATAGTATCTGTAGTAACAATTATTCGATATATCTGTACATGAATAATTCTATTTTAATCATTATTTGTTGTTATACTTTCAGATTTGCAATTACAAAAGCCTGACACAACAAAACTAAAACAAAACAAAACAACAAAAAACCAAAAACAACATTGGTTTAACTCACAGAATTACGAGATCGCCAACAGTCCGTGAAGGCAGCATGGGCCGGAGCTCCAAACCTCGCACCTGTGCAGCTGAAGTCTCGTGATAACTCAAACTAGGATGTTGGAGAAACTGCTGCAATATTATTCGAAATGATGCCAAGATTTAGCTCATTATATAATGGATTTATAGAAGAGTTAGCCACATTAGCCAAAGATCGACCAAAAGATAAATTAAGACTAGTTACTAGCCAAATACAAGTTAATAAACATTTTAAACGTGGCAGTTGGGCAGAATTACATCTAAAAAAGTACATATATTGGTAAAGAAAATGTTAAAACAACATAAGATAGGATATTTGAAGTACTTACTTCGAAACACACGAATCCACAGCACAGAAGTTGCTGCTGTTCACAGTTTAAATTGTTTCCTCGTCCAGAGGATGGATGGAGATAATTTCTCCCCTGAGGAGAGCTGAGTAAATTTACCACGAAGCTCAAAGGTGACACCATCTGGGACAACGCTGCAATCACATGAAAATGAGCAGCAGACCCAGTTAGATGCAGCCACCAACTGTACATGTCGAAGGACACACTAAATTATGAAATATATTCATGTTAGCCGTTAAAATGGCACCGGGCCTCGAAGTTATTCAGAATAAAGCTAGGCTTTAAAGCTACAAGTAGCATAACATTAGCAAGCTATCCAAAGGAAGTACTGTAGTTAAAACGTCTTTCAAATTTTGTCAATTTGTATTTAAAATGATCAAATAAAAGTGGTAACCATATTTTCAGATTCTAGAGTGAGTAGGAAACAGCTTTCCAACATTTGTCATTATTCCCTGCTCGACAATGTTCTCTTCCTCTGGAAAACAGAGCCCTTTTTGTTAACCACATCTGTGCAGGTGGGCGTCAGCTCAGTCCATGTCAGATGACGTAGTTACGTATGGCGGAAGTGGCCATATAAGGATACTGCTTATCAGCAGTGGATCTTAGCAGGGAGCTGCAGGAGGAGGAGGAGGTAACATGCAGCATTCATCCACCACGCACTTATTTATACAACAAAACTATAACGTTATGCTTTGATTTTCAAGCTATTTTCAAATTCGTGGACATTTACTGTAAACATGTCTTGCAACCAGTCTGCATTTTAAGTGTTCTTCCACAAAATACCGCGGTTACGCTGTCCCAAAAGTAAGTTTATTATCGGAAAAATTAAATATTTCTCTAAGGCAATATCTCGCCGTTTTTGTTTTTGTTTTATTTTTTTTTTTGTTTTTTACAGCTCGCTCTGTTAATTTGTTTGGCCCACGCGGGGGAGCATGAGTAAAGATTCCAACGATAAAATATCCATAAAAATAACAACCATACATTTATTTAGATATTGCGGGAGTAATATGGATAGTTAGATATTACGGAAATACTGCGCTTTTACAGTAATGTAACGGTGGATTTTGTAGAGTCATAGTGATGGTAATGCAGAGTCACCTAGACAAAAGCCACTCCCACTGTTTTCCTCCTGTACTGATAAATTGTGCAAAGATGGAGAAACTCATATGTATATAATTTCGTGTTTTTTGTTGTTTTTTCTTGTCTCGAGCAGGTGAACGATTTATGATTAACATAAATGAGAGATTTTAACAGTGAAATTGAGAAAATGTATTGTTGTACAGAAACTTTGAAGTACAAAATGATCGTAGTACAGATTTGGTAGTTGAGGTGATGCTTATTTGAAAATTGCCTCCTAAATATTGCTTTTTGCATTGCACTTTTTTTTAATTTACAAATTTCTGTTTTTTAATCTGTTTGGATCAATAAATGCAAATAAAATAAAGCAATAAAGGCCATGTGGAATAAGAGACACACAAAAGGCATTTTGTTTAAAAATTGATGCCATGATTTCAAACTGTCAGGATAGTTTTTATTAGGCTCTTTTTCCTCAAAGTAATCAGCTCCAGACATGTTTATGAATAAAACAAGAACCTGGGTTTTACTCCAAGAATTCAGAAAGGTCATGTTTATCAGATAATACTGTTGTCGTTTTTAAGTGTTGTCTTTTGTATGTGTTTAAAAAGTGAACAAACCAGTTATTGTGGGTCAGTTTGAGTCGTTTGTTGTGTAATTGAGACACGAATGCCTCTCCTGTGAAGCAGAGGGATTGGTGTCTCTGAAACAGTAATATTAGCTCCTCTTCTACTCTTCACTGTTTAACCTTGAAAATGTTTTAAACGCTGAAACTCTTATTGAAAAATAATATAGTCCGAAGAAAAAATAAATTACTCAAATGCCACAAATGATCCAAAAATGAAGTTCTATTTAAAAAAAATCAATCAAACAATTATACCATTAATGGTAAAGGTTAGACAAAATATATCAATTACAAATTACTTAATTATAGCAAATTAATAATAATAATAATAACAACGAATGTGTAAAAGTTTAACAAACTAACAAATTACTTAATTATAGCAAATTAATCATAATAATAACAATGAGTGTGTAAAAGTTTAACAAACTCAAAAAACAAATGATCTTGTTATGTTAATAAGGATAAAAATGATCAGATCTTCTACAAAAATGACGGCAGAATATTCAGACACACAGACTTTTTACTGTATATAACACAGAGTTTCATGTCTGTTATGTCAGTTATATTTGCAGCTCAATGAGTGTGTTTACACAAAAAACAGCCTCCACCCAGAATGCATCTCTGATCTTGTCTCTCCTCCTTCACTATTATGTCACCTAATGGTCACTGTCTGCTGAGCCTTCATCTCTGCTCACAGCTTCTTACCCTGTGCTTTTCTTCTTCTTGTCATCTGAACAGCAAACCCCACAGCAGCCATGGAGCGAGTCAGAGGTGCATTTAACAACCTGGTGAGTGATTGTAAATTTTTTTCCCCTCCCTTTTCGTATTTTTTTCCTGCGACCAACGCACAGTTCATTCTCTGCCGTCCTGCCTCTCTCCAGTTAAAGAGCGAGAGCTACAGCAGGTTCAACCTGCAGCCACAGGTGGAAGGAGAAACACACATGGAGGCGAAAATGTCTGATGATGTCACAGATGATGTCACGCAGGTGGAAAGCCAGGCAGGAGCTGCTACGAGGTTCGAGCAGACGTCTTCGGATCACAACAAGAGGAATATTTGTTACCTGTCTTTGGGGACGCTGCTGGTGTTTCTACTGGGTAGGTGACACAACAGTTTTCATCACTGATGTTGGAACCATGTCTAATCAGTACCGGTGCCTCTGCCCTGTGTCCTTGTAAGGTTATCTGGTTGGTTACATCAGCCACAGTAAAGTGGAGCCGGTGAGGACGGAGCCTGTCGCTGTGGTCAAAAGTCAAACAGTGACGAAGTCGCCGCCGCCTGATTTTATACCAGCTCCAGATTTGTCCCTGAAGTGGTCAGACATCCAACAGCTGCTCACCCAGAAACTCACCAGCCAGGCATTTGACACCACTCTGAGGTGAAGGTTTACTGTCATCTGTGCACCTGTGTCATCAGTAGCCTTTGCTAACCTGCCTGAAAACATTAGTTGGAGATTTGTCCAAAAAGTTTGAACTTTTGTTTACCTTCTCTCAGTTATCAATGGCTAGCTAATCAGATGCAGGGTGTGATAGGTGATGTCAGGTGTTGTACCAAACCCCTGGGGTGTTTTTGACCCATGGGCTGATAATATTAAAAGTGCTGAGTTACAGCAATGTTATTTTCTCAGAGATAAAAACCCAGCAAATCGAATGACTGTAATGTTTGAAGCCCAGTCAGAGAGTCACTCAGTCAGCTGCTAATCTGGTTTGTTCTCCTCCTCCAGCCCTACGGCATCAGTGAGGTCATCACTGTCACAGAAACACAGTGAACTGTTGTTACTAAAACACTAAAAACATGCTGCATGTCTGTATTGAAGTCATAAAGTAGAACTTCTGTGGATTTTCTCACTGAACCAGACTAATCCAGGTCTTTTT